GAGGGGGAGGGGGTGGAGGGGGGGCACGTGTACAGAATAATAATAAATCTCCTCTCCTCTACACCCCCACCTTCTGTACACACTCTAACCCCCGCAGTGGCGTGTGTGTGTGTGTGTGTGTGTGTGTGTGTGTGTTTTGTTGTCACACGGGGAAAGCGTGGAAAATCTACTTTGTGTTAGAAGATGAAAAGACAAAGGGAGGCAGACGGGGGAGAGAGGGGGAGTAAAGGGAGAAATGTAATAATAATGTTTTTTTTTTATTACATGGAGTGGGTTTTCCTGTGTGTTTGTAGAGTAGGAGGATTCCGACGTCTAGACAGACTTTGATTTGACGATACGATGTAGAGATGAAGGTTGAACAGCTGGAAATGTACAAGTGTGTGTGTGTGTTGGTGTGTGTGTGTGTTGGCTGTAACTCATCAGGTTTTGATTTTCCCAGTGTCAATCATTTATCATCGTTCAGAGCCTTTTATTTTCTTCTTCTTCTTCTTCTTCTTCTTTTTCTTCTTTTTCTTCTTCTTCTTCTTCTTCTTCTTCTTTTTCTTCTTTTTCTTCTTCTTCTTCTTCTTCTTCTTTTTCTTCTTCTTCTTCTTCTTCTTCTTCTTCTTCTCTGGTCCAAAGTCCAGATGAACTTTGACCCTCTCCTCTTTAACGACCTTGGTTTAACCTTCTCAGAGGAAGAGAGAATCCACAGCCTCTGTCAACTGTGACAGACTTTTCTCCAAGTTTCCAAAGTCACTCCTTTCATTGTAAAGTATCAAAATGAGGCTCGAGGCCTCATCGAGTGTCATCGTCATCCAAACTGATGGACCAAAGTTCACTCACCTGGTCACCTGGTCACCTGGTGTATTTGTCGACACTTGATTCACATGTATTTCTGCTGTCACTGGTTCATATTCCTCACATGAGGCTGCTGCTGATAAAAGCCGCCCTGTCTTCTCCCCCCGAGCCACGGCTTTGGTCCCGGGGTGGAGCTGTGTAACAGAGGACACCATTCATGCCCGGCCTCCGTGAGGTAAACGGGGTCTGCAGGAGGAACGGTTTAAGAGCCTGGAGCTGGTTTTATCATCAACTCTGGCCGTGGTTCATCGTAGATGAAAGGATTTCTTTGATTTTACCTGGAAAAAAAAGCTGACGTTTTATAGGTTTTTAGAAGAAAAATAAAACCCAAGATTAGACGTTTATGTCCTGATGTCAGTGTCGTAACAGCTGCTCTGTTTCTTTGAGCTTTTTGGTGAATTTTCAACTATTAATAATTATTCAAACAACCATCAAGAGCACATGTAACAAGTCCATTTTTTTGCTAAACTTTAGCTATTCTGTGGCTAATTCTTAAAATGTCTAAGTCCTATTAAGCTAACCATTGATTTTTGAGTCATGTTTATTCTGTCTTATTATTTGGCTAAATTTCTAGCTTCCATTTTTGGCTGTTCATTGCAGCCTTGTGACCAATTTCTAGCTACTTTTAGCTTTCAGTTAGCGATTAGCTCAACCATGTTTTGGTCAACTTTCCTGAAGCTAAAGCTGCTAAAGGCAGTTTTGTCTTTTAATCTTATCGGTTAATTTGCACACTTTGCTTCAGTTTGTCGGATCAAATCACTCCACCTTCTTGTAGAAGTTTCTTCGCCTGTAAATCTGTATGAAAACGTGCGTCATTGATTTTCTGTGAATCTGGAAATTCCCTCTCCTGCTCTCATTCATTCATGAACAAATCACTTTAGTTTTGCGTGTTGTCGTCCCTCCAGGCTGGATGTGTGTTTGTTTGGGTACAGATTCCCATGGTGCTTTGTGTGAACAGTGAAAAGATTATTTTAACGTTCCAGAAACTCAGATCACATAGAACCAGTTTGGCTTCTGAAGTATCACCTAAAAAAAAGTACTCGGTATTGTATCTGTGGTTGTTGAAGCACCAGGGGGCAGAATGATGAGGTGTTCTATGGACCAGTGTCACTGATGGTTTCTGTAATTGTTGTGATTTATTATCTGTTTCTCTGTGACTAAAGTAAAGTCAAACTGACAGTTTGTTCTGTTAATCTGGATACTGTGACCTTAAAGATCCTAGAAAACAAATAACAGAACTAATCTCATTATTCATAAAGAGAGAATAAATTGCCTGAAGAGCAGAGGCTAAATATATTAGCATATCAAGCTAACAACTCACCACTCGTCAGACTCGGCATCAGTTCCAGTCAGTACTGTTTCTGTCCCACTCGTCAGACTCGGCATCAGTTCCACAAAAAGTTGTCTTTTTCTGTTGCTCCATTTCCATACTTCATAATCTGCAGTTTAAATTCTACAGTTTTTTTTTGCCACATTTTTTTTTTCAGGAATTTTTTTAGTGTTGAGTTGTCATGCATATAGACAGCGTCCTCTCGTGGCCACCGATGATGGAGGCTACATTTTGATACACACGTCATTTTGATTAAGACTCACAGGAGCAGCCAAACTACTAAAACGTTTGACTTATCGTTCGCTACATTTGTCGACTGTTGAAATTCATCTCTTTGATGCCGCATCAACAGCATCAAAGAGATGAATTCTGACCAGTGAAATGAAATCAATCAAAGCTGCTGTAAATATCTCCTCTCTCTCGAGGCTCATTCATCAGATTTCACTCCACAGACACCGTCACTGTCACGGTTCTGGTTTCAACCCTCAGAGGAACCATTGTGTCGTCCACCTATCATTTATCTCCGCTGCCGTTCCCGAACGCCTCCCATAAACAAGCTGTCGTTTATCCTCGGACATATTTGTACACGCACTCAGTACAGAGCCACTGTTTGAACCACACTCACCGCGTTTGAACCACGTCGTGTAATCACAGCCTCCACGGCGGCGACGGAACCAAAATGACACGACCGTCTGCGACAGGACGGTGGAACTTCACTTTCTATGTCTGTGCATCGATGAATAACTGGAGAGGAGGAATGTGTGGCGGTCACTGATGTGGCGACTGTTCCCACGACCTAAAAAAGACCAAGGCAGAGCGGCGGCGATGAAGAAGCCGAACAGGACACGTGTGTGTCGTAGTTGATACTTTTCGTGGAGCAGCTCTACGTTTGAAAGATCTGGACCCTGGGGCCAATCATGGCTCCTGAACAGGTTTTATGTGCCCCCCTCCACCCCCCCTCCCAAGTTAAATTAGTTGTATTTACGACCCCCCAGAGGACAGTGCAACAAACCCAAGGTTGATTCACCACTGACTGCCGTCTGTAGCATCTGCTCTGTCACTGATTTTGAGTTTTTTTTTAGAACAGAATATTTTCCAGTCGTACGGAACTACAGTATTTTATTACTTCCTTTAGTTTTCACAGAAGTAGTGGAGGTTTATGGTATTGAAGTGCGCCACCTACCTTCCCCAACCCCCACCCCCCCTTTAAATACCACACTGTTGGTAAAGAGACTGTAGCAGTTAAGAGTGTGAGATAATGTAGATATATACACTGAAAAATTGCTCAATATTCTACAGCACTTTATTGATCATTTTTTATCCCCAATTCCCAGTCCAATATTCCTGGTGTTGGTTCTTGTTCTTTTTCTTTTCTTTCTTCTCTAGTGATTCCAAATGCAG